TGGCTTATTTGCGCATTGATTTTTGTGGTATTTGCAGACCACTGAATCTCTTTGGGAATTGTATTTTGTCCTTCTCGGTTCGTCAGTATCCATTAGTATAAATAAGTTGTACCCACCTCCTTGTACTTTAGTAGGTAAGAAATCCATACTAGGAAGACCTCAGAACTCAGAAAAGGAGCTCCTAGAGATGGAAGTAGATTGGATCTACCTTTGATATGAAATTGCCAGTCAAGGACAGCATGTACAGTACATTGTTAGTGGAAGATCAGGGTGCATGTATCACAGACCAGACACTTGTTGAATAGGAAGGTACAAACCTTAAAAAGAGTCCAGGGTCCTAATCATAACAAGAAATAGCAACAAAAAAGTGAAATCAAGAAATGAAGGCACAGACTTTTAAAGACCGGAAGAGCACAGCTGGAAGATGCTAATAACACACGGGAGATTTTTCAAATGAGGTGACATCTCTGCCGTAAACAGGATTTTTTTCATCACTCACTTATTTGGACTCTTTAATTTGCTTGTTAACTTGCTAAGGAAATTCTTTTACCTTTTCTTCTTCCTACTTAGTCCTCTGTCCCCACCTCAATCCTTTTTTCTTCATTGTTTTATTTTCATTCAAAATTAATGAGATTATAAACCATGTTAGAGAGATGTCTAGCTGTCTTTACAGATATTTAGCTGTCTTTACAGAAAATTATTAAGTAACAAACACACCGTAATAATTCCAAAGATGTTGATATTTTTCCATAAAACATTCAGTGTTCTTATTGCACTTTGTTATCAGTCAACTTTGACCTAACACACCTCTCCAGAAGTTAGTGGTATGCCAAAATATTATCGCAGATTTTCAGGTTGGCTGGGTGACTCTTTTTCACATGAATCTTAGTGTTTCAGGGCAAGTGGCTACCTAGTACTTGTTCTGATGTAAGCTTCAGAAATTTAAGAGAGCAAACCCAACCATGCAAACACATTTTCGAGTCATCTTGCATCTTGTCTGCTCTAAGACATTACTGAAAGCATGTCACATAGTCAAGCCTATCATTAACACAGCAAGGAAATACGTCTTGTGGGGGGTGGGGGGGGAGTCAAAAGTGGCAAAGGATATGAATAACAAAGATGGGAGAGAAATTTGAAATCTAATACCTACTCTGTAATCTTTTCTGGGTTTTGTATCCCTGTCTACATTTTTACCTTGTACTCATTAAATATTCATATACTATTTTGTATTCTTCCACTTTAGTTTAATATATTTTAAAGATAACTTCTATATGGGTCATATAATCATTATTTAAAAATAAACAGCTGTTTGCTTAGCTCAGACTGTACTTCTAGGATCATCTGTATCAAAGTCATTTGAGATATTTATTAAAATTGCAGGTCTTTTAGCATTAACCTAAATTATTAACAAACTCATAAGGTCATTCTTGGGTACATTAAAAGAATCCCTGTTTTGGAGGGACATTGGATTTGTTCCTATTTTCCCAGCATTATAAATAACAACCAACAACATTTGTAAAAGTGACTGATTTCTTTAGGGGCAGTCAACAGTCTTTTCCTGACCCCTGATTGAATAATTTGAGGAATTTAATAGTCTCTATAAAGAATTGAGTTGGGTGTGCTGGTAGTGGTGAGATTTACAAGTAGACTTATAAAACCTTTTAAGTATTTTATGTTCTGACATTTAGATAAGCAGAATTTCTGTAAATTTTTTTATGTATCTGTAGTTTGTAATGTAGGCTATTATATAACTTAGTCATGGTTCCACTGCTAGTTATTAATAGTTTTCTAAATGAAAGTAGAAATGTTGACAGATTTTTTTTTTTAATTTTAAAGATTTATTTATTTTTCCATACAAGAAGAGGGGTACAGGCCAGAGGTGCAAGGGGTGAGAGGATTCACCAGAGACAGGGGAACAGAACAGGCAGATCAACTGAAATACACTGCTAAGAGGAGTAGTGGGTGAGTCAGGAGAGGTCTGCTGTGCCACGTGGGTAGCTCCCTGGTCCGGGATCAAACTTGTGCTGCAGTGGCTGTGGTAAGCTTCATAGGTTGCGTCTTAACCCCTTGCACCACCAGGGAGGCCCTGTTGACAGATTTAAAGGGAATCTTGTTTTGTTTAACCCTGTATGTTTGGCAACTCAATTCTTTTACTCAACTATTTTGAATCTTCTTGGCATTGTTTATGATTGTTTATGTGCTTTATTGTTAGATAGCCATGGTTGTCTCAACTTCTTAATAAGATTTTTATGGAAATGAAAATTCATTGATGGCCTGGGAGAGTGCCAGTGCCCCTCAGTATGCATTCTTTCCCTTTTCTCTACTAACAGAACCCTGATTTCTTCAGAGTGGCCTTTTGTTGAAAAATACATTTCCCAATCTCCTTTGTAGTGATGAGTGTCCATATGATTTTGTTTTGCTCAATGAGAAATGACTAGATGGAGCTTGTTAAAGAAGCAGCATTGTTTAGCAGACATATTTTGTCTTTGCCATTTCTTAAGCCCACCTAGAACTTGGTCAGGATACTGGAGGAGGCATGGCATGACAAACTTTTGATAAATGTCACACATAAGAATACTCAATGGAAAGAGAGCAGGACTTTAAATCCTTGTTATCACGTTGTGCATGGGGAGCGGGAGTGTCCATACAGGTCTGGGCTGTCCACCTCTAGTCTCATGTTAGATTAAAAAAAAAGACCGCAGTATGTTAAAGCTACCATTTAGTTGGGATTCTGTTATGTGGAGCTGAGTATAAATTTTAATTTATACATGTAGTTTCTGTAAAAGGTATTTAGATTAGGTTGTCTCAAACTTAACTTTTAAATTGTTTTTATGATTTTCTCATTTCCTTTTGTAATTTGTTTAGGAGCCTTTTCCTCTGGATGTATATACACCTTTAAGTTGTCATGCGTGTTTTGAAATGCACATATTACAGTTCTGACATAAAATCTGTATGCAGAATCTTAAAACTTTCTTTTGAAGTGCATTCAAATTTAAAGTTGCAAGATTCTGTACAAAGAAATTGCATAACAAGTTATTGAGAGAAAGTGCAATTTTTTTTTTTACTTCTTAAATGCATGGTGTATTTTCTAAGACAAAAGATATTCTCTCATGTAACTACCATACAGTTATCAAATTTAGGAAATTAATATAGCATAATAATGTCAATAATACATATTTGTACTTATTCAGTTGTCCCAATAATATCTTTAGTATGAAATTCAATCTGGCATTTGCTTTTCATGTCATATCGGTCCCCTTTAATCTGAAAACTCATCCTTTGTCTTTAATGATACAGATATTTGAAGATAACAAAGTAATAATAATAATTATTAATAATTATTATTTTACAAATTGTCCCTCAATTTGGATTTATCTGATGTTTCCTTTATATTAGATTCAAGTTTTGCATTTTTTCACAGGAATAGCACAGCTGATGTTATCTTCTTGGTGTGTCATAGCAAAAGGCATACATACATATACATACCATTAATACTAACTTTACACCACTCTTTACAGGTGGTGTCTGTTAGGTTTCTTCATTTTATATAATAAAGTTGCTCTTTTCCCTTTTAATTTGTTGCAAGAGGGTTTGGAACTGAGCAACTATCTTGTTCATCAAACTTTTACCCAATAGTTTTAACATAAGTTAATGATTTTTTTTTTTTTTGGTGGGACCTTCGCCGATGGCCAGGGAATGAACCGGCGCTGCTGAGGCTGCAGGCAGCCTCGTAGCCACCAGGGGAGGCCCATAAGTTAATGATTCTTGACTAAATTATTACTGACATCAATGTCAAACATTTTCAAAAAAGATTTCAGAGGACCCTATTTTTTTCTAGTGACAAGGTTTTATTTTTTTAAATATATCATCAAACTCTGTTTCATGGTTCTGTCTTACAGTTTTTGGGAAGTTGTTCTATGGTTCTTAATAAGGGAAGTTTAGTGTAGTAGGGAAGAATCAAGGTATAGGCCAGAGGCACAGGGGCGAAAGACTTCACCAGAGCCAGAATGGAGAATAGAAAAAGCACAATTTATTGGAACATACTGCTCATAGAAGCAGCAGGCAAGACTTGAGAGGTTGTCTGCCTTGAGAGAGGGTGGGGAGGCTCTATTTAAGCTCCAGGCATTATGGATTGGTTAGGATGAATAGTCTTCCAAGTGTTCTGCCTAATGACCTGAGGCAGCATAATGGATCAGAGCGTCAGCTTAATGGCCTGGTTCCCGTGGCAGTCTCATCCACTCAAGTCTCCCATTCAAGTCTCCCAAACTTGCCTGCTTGGCAAGAAGTGGAGGCTTAGTTTTTAATTTTTGTAATAATACCACGACATTTAGGGAAGGGGTTATAGTGGAATCCTCTTTCCACTTCTTTTTCTCCCCAAAAGATTATAATAGCTTCTATACACTGATTGGATATAAATTAGTCTGAATCAGGGAGCAAGAAATAAGCAGTTCTATTAGAATTTCTCTATGACAGATTGAAGAATAGGATAATCTTTTTTCCTTGAATAGATGTTGGGATCCCCATGGTATAATATACCCACCTAGTGCATGTCTTGCCAAAAGCTTGTTTCTTTTAAAAGTCTCAGGTTCCTGGATGCTAACTGATCCTAGGGACGAGAAGAGATTACAGAGCTACCTGATATTCTCAGTCGGTAGTCCCATCCTCTAGTTAGAGTAGCTCAGTGTATACCTGTTTTTGGGGGTTAGCTCTTTGCAAATCACTCCTTTTCTTGTTGGGAGGAATAAATGAAGGAGTGAAGAATGAGCCAGAAATTGTTAATTCAGTGAGACTTTTTGGATACCTGAGAATGCATTAAGGGTTTCCCCAAAGTATGGTTCATTCTTCCTAAAAGAGTGAAATTTGTTCAGTCGCTCTAAAGTTCTATTTTTTCCTTTTACTGTTTTCTGTTACTTTTTTTCTTTATCCTAAGGGCATTAATTTTCTTGCCCTTGCATATATTCAGATTTCAGAATGTAATGATTTTTTTTTCTCCTTTTTAGCACCAGCAGACATTTTTGAATCAACTAAGAGAAATTACTGGGATTAATGACACTCAAATACTACAGCAAGCCTTGAAGGTATGTCCTCTGTTTTATGATATGCAGTTTGTCTTTCCCCCTCACTTTTACTGACTACTGTATTTGAAAGTTTAGTTTTCAGTTGTACCATGTGGTGGTAGTAGTAGACTTAGACGAAAAGAACCTCTATAAAGTAGCACCTCACCTAGCATACTGCAATTTCTAACATGTTAGATTCGGCAACTTAAGTTCCAGGATACCTTGAAGTGACAGATAACCTCTCTTCTTATGAAACGCTTTATACAAAGTGGAGGGATGCGGTTCTGATTGCTAGTGGATGGTGTTATTCTGGAGCCATGATTTTAGAATTTACATAAAATGAAGGGTTGAAGGGTGGGGTGAGGTTGAGAAAGGAAGAAGAGGTAAGAGTAGAAAAGAAATAGAGGGTCAAAAGCTTACATATTTTTTCCCCCGAGTAGAAAATTTAATTTGGCTAATATTCAAGTAATTACACCTGAAGTACATTCAACAATGTGTGTAGTATGTGCAGCATATAAAGTACATCATTTTGTTTACATCTTATAATGTACCCTCATTTACAGACAGAGGCACCCAGATGTCAAATCACGTGGAATGGACATTGAAAAAGATAAAGTGAATGAAGGGTGTTCAAGAAATAGAACTGCATTTAAACTAAAAGTTAACAATGCAGCATCTTTATCACTGTAGGCATATACACACAGTTTCAGTTCTTTGAAACTTGGTCTGTGAGAGAAAATGACGTAGTTTTTGAATCTGAGCCAGAAGTTCATTTGTTTCAAGAAATAATTTATCTTTTAGATAATTGTAATCATAATTATGATAATGGTAGCGATAAATAACTAACACTTATTAAGCACTTATTGATACTGTTTTTTAAGTATTTTATATGACTAATTTATGCTCATAAAAAGTGTATGAGGTAGGTAAAATTTTTATTTCCTTTTTTAAGATCAAGAAACAAATTAAAGTGACTTGCTCACCATCATACTACTCTTATGTGAAGTAACTGGAAGTAGAAACCAAGCAGTTGGAGCACCACACTTAATTATTGATTTTACTAGAAACTTTCAGCTCCTTTTTTTTTCATTAGGAAAATGGCAAAATAGTTCTGTTTAGAGCATTAGTGCAGTTTGCGAAGTCATTGTATTTGAAGAGGAAGCAAAAGTGGAATGCCTTAATTTTTGAGTATGACATTTTTTAGATTGCCATTCCTTTTGATAACTAAATCATTCCATGTCTATTTTCAGAAAGTGCCTTTCTCATTCTTTATCACTGAGTGTGAGGCTACACCCATTACTTTGTCAGAACAAATTTGGGGAACTCACTTTTTTTTAACTTGGGGAACATACAATGCTAAACATAAAGAATTAATCAAATTATTTTTGTCCACATTTCTTTTGAGGTAAGTTATGTGACCATAGCTTGCTTTCTTTTTTTTTTTTAAAGATTTATTTATTTATTTATACAAGCACTGGGTACAGTCAGAAGTGCGGGAGGGTGAGAGAATTCACCAGAGCCAGAGCAGGGAACAGAACAGGCAGACTGATGAAACACACTGCTGAGGGGAGCAGCGGGTGAGACAGGAGAGGTCTGCGCGCCATGTGGGACCCTCACTGGTGGCCAGGGATCAAACCCGTTTTGCAGAGGCTGCGGGCAGTTCGACACCCAGCGCTCAACCGCCCTGCCACCAGGGGAAGCCCTACCATAGCTTTCTTTAACTTTCTTTTCAGTTACTGGCAGCTAGAGGGATGGGGAGAGTGGGGACAGTGTACTTAAACCTTAACTGTTGCTTAGTATAAATTTGTGAGACAGTCAGAGTTGCTTTTCCTAGTAGTATACTGACAAGGAATCTTCTTTTGAGAATCACAATGTCATTGATGAATTTCAGCATTTGTATTTTATTTTGAGAATTTATTTTTAGCTTTCCAAAGTATGTGACCTTCAAATTATCTAAATCCCTTTTGGATTCAGTTTATTACTGTTATATGAAGTAGTAGATGAAAAGCACTTAGCATATTTCTGGGCATGTAATAAATGCTCCATAAATGTTAGTCATTATTATTGCAAATTATTTTGCTTATCTAATAGAATATGTGTATCTTCTATGTTTTATTTATTTTATTTTTTTAAAGATTTTGATTATTCATGCATACGAGAAGTGGGGGCAGGCCAGATGCGTGGGAGGGTGAGAGGATTCACCAGAGACAGAGCAGGGAACAGAACAGGCAGACTGACAAAATACACTGGTGAGGGGCGAGACAGAAGTCTGCTGTGCCATGTGGGATTCTTGCCGGCCAGCTGGGATTGAACCTGCACTGCAGAGGCTGCTGACAGCTTCACAGTGCTGCGCTCAACTGTCTGTGCCACCATGGGAGGCCCCTGTATATCTATGTTTTAGATAATCATAAGAACCTGATTTTGGTAGTGACAGATAGCAAAGTTTAAAGCAGTACAAATAGCTCTCTTGCTTTTTTCTCTCCGCACTGGCTGTTAGAATTGTAGTTAGGGTGTGGTAGGGACTTCATTCTGCCAGTTGCTCAGGCTTCAAATCTTGGAATCATCCTGATCTTCCCCCTCCTGTCAGCCCCCACATTTAATATGATAGCACATAATGTTAAATTCTCTGCTTCTGCCCTTTCTCTCCTGTAGTTATGCTTAACATACAACCAGACCGAACCTTTTCAAATGTAACTTACAATCATGTCATTTCTGTCCAAAACCTTCCATTGGCTTCTTATTATATATTCTGCGTATGGTAACATTCTTAGGGACTCCAAAGTTTTATATGTTCTGGTTTTCAATTACAAATATAGCTTCATCATTTTTTTTATTTAATGGAAAATAGCGTTGCATTTCAATATTATGTAAGTTTTAATTATGCATCATTGAAAATCAACATGTGTATATGCTACATTAAAGTCATCATTAAAAATCCAGTCCTATCCTTCATGATATAATTATCCCTTTTGTACACCCGTTTACCCCATTGCCTTTCCTCCTTCCCTTCTAGAAAGCACTAATTGTTCTTATTGTTTGAAAGTTTATTTTTGTTTTATTTAGTACATCTGTTTTATTTATTTTCTCTGTACCACATAAATGAAATCATACCCTGTTTATCTTCCTCTGTCTGGCTTATTTCTCTATATTACCATGTCAGTCCATACAATTTGTTGCAAAGGGCAGATGTCATTTTTTTTTTCTTTTTTCTCTGATAGGTGAGTAGTGTTCCGTTGTGTATATGTACCATGTCTTCATCAGTCAGTGGGTACTTAGGGTGTTTCTAGTTCTTAGCTATTGTAAATAATGCTGCAATGAATATGGGGATGCAAATATCTGTTCAAATTAATGTTTTATTATTTTTGGATAAATATGCATAGTGGCTTGTATGGAATTTCTATTTTTAATTTTTCAAGCAGTCTCTATAATGATTGTACCAATTTACATCCCCACTGCGGTATACAAGACTTCCCTTCTATCCATATCCTCTCTAGCTCTTGTTTGTTTTCTTTTAGGTACTAGCCAGTCCTACAGATGTCAGCTGATACCTGATTTGCATTTCCTTAATAATAAGGAATTATTTTAATTATTATTTTATTATTATGGAATTGCAAATAATAATAATAAAATAAAAATGCAAATAATAATAATAATAAAATGCAAATAATAATAATAATGACAATTTTTTTATGTCTGTTGGCCATCTGTCTGTCTTCTTTGGAGAACTGTATTTTATTTATATCCTCTGCCCATTTTTAATTTTTTTTTATTGTTGAGTTTTTGAGTTCTATGTATATTTTGAATATTAACTCTTCAGACACATGATATGCAGATCTCTTCTCTTATTCAGTAGGAAGTTTTTTGTTTTTTTTTTTTTTTTTGATGCAAGTTTCTCTTGCTACAAGGAAACCTTATAGTTTGATGTAGTACCATTTGTTTAATTTTGCTTTTTGTTTCCATTGTAATTAGAGTCCAATCCCCAAACATATCTCTAAGGCTGATGTCAAGGAACATATCCCATATATTTTTTTCTATGTATTTATGTTTTCAGGACTAACATCAAGTTTTTAATTCATTTTAAATTAATTTTTATGTCTAGTGTGAGCTAGTGGTCTAATTTCATTCTTTTACATGTGACTGCCCAGTTTTGCAAGCACCATTTGTTAAAGTCTTTCCTTGCTTCATTGTAAGCTCTTGACCCCTTCATTGTAAGTTAGTTGTGCATATATGTGAGGTTTTATTTCTGGACTGTCAGTTCTGAATAACTTCATTATCAGTAAAGATATCTGGATTATCTGAATTGTTTCAATTTGTTGTATAGAGCCTGTGTTATTTTTATTGTTAAGTGAACAGAGCTTATACTGCGGTAACTAGGCAAGTTTTTCTCATTATTTTGATGTTTTAAAATTTCTTAGTTTTCTGTCCTCTCCTTTCTTCTAAATTAACTTTAGAATAATTTTGTTCTTGATGAGAAATATATGAAATTTATGTATTTGGATAGAATTGTCATCTTAACAGCGTTGAGTATTTTTGTCTGAGAGTTGTGTGTGACTCTCCATGTTTTCAAGTTTCAGAACATTTTGCTGAACATTTCTTCCTACCAATCTTTGACATTTACTTGTGAAGTTTGCCTCTAGGTGTATATTCAGAATCCGTATTAAGGGAATATCATATAGTTATTGTTTGCAGGAATACTGTTTCAAGTGTTCGTTTTGCACTCTTTCATATGGCTGGTTCAACGAAAAGTTTTTTAGTTCTCAATATTTTATAAGTATAAATTCATGGTTGATTTTTGTTAACCAGTTATGAAAGTCTGAGAAATTAAAATTATAGATTGATTTTTATATTAGTGGTTCTAACTACTGATTTTTGGTTGATTTTTACATCATTAGTTTTAACTAGCAGGAAAAGGAATTACTGTGGATATATTATACTTTGTTTACAGTGGATTTATGCTATAAAATTAGAATCACAGAATAATTCCAAATCTGAAAATGATTTTTGTTGTCATGTATTAGTTGTTGTGGAGAAAATTATTAAGTCATGTGAGAATGTATAAAGTCATGCCAAAATATTTGATTTTCCATTCTTGATTTATTTGAAGGATAGTAATGGAAATTTGGAATTAGCAGTAGCTTTCCTTACTGCAAAAAATGCCAAGACACCTCAGCAGGAGGAGACAACTTACTACCAGACAGCACTTCCTGGCAATGATAGATATATCAGTGTGGGAAGTCAAGCAGATACAAGTAAGTTTTCTTCTTTTCCTTAATATTTTAATAAGAATGTAATGAAAAACTTTCTTTCGGAAGTATGTTGATTTTGTTTAAGCAGAGGTGAAGTACATAAAAAGCTCTACTTTAACCTTATTTCATTTTAGTGTAGCTGAAAGGAGCATATGTTTTTATATATTTTTATATATAATTAATAATATATAATTTTTTCCAGTTCAGGAGTAAAGTCATATATCCTTTCATGGAACATTCCATATACAATCAATTGATTTGAAATATGAAACAGCCACAGGTATCATTTGTTAAAGAAACAAAAGTATTTTGAACTTTATATAGTTGTTTTATGGATTTTAAGTTTTGGTAGAAACCTTAGTATTATTTTTGATAATTACTTTTTGGTTTACCATTTCACAGAATTTTCCCTCATCTCAGTCCCCTTCTTCCTGGGAAGGTTTATTACCATGTAACAAAATCCTTCTCCTCCAAGAAAAGAAACAGATACAAGTATTAAACACGTACATACCTATGGAAAATTTACATGGGACTATAATTTTTTTTTCATGATAAGAATGTTTTTTGTTATGTAGTATGAATTTTTCAAAACATGCTTAGTTACCTCCATGTCTCATTATGGTTAAATGATTATTATATACAATTCAGATATTTATCATGCATTATGGTTTTGAGAAGTTTGGTCACTAATTTCTATTTGAATTGAGTTTCTGATTTTATTTAAGACCTTCTAAAAGTTAGGAAGCAACCGAAATAACCCATTTACGTAGATTTTACAGCAATTGATTGGCACTAAACACACATGTTGATAAATATTTTGAAGTGTAATCTTAATATTTTGTCCAGCAAATGATTTTAAGTCAGCCAAAGCCGGAATATTCCTATCTCACATATGTAATAGGTAATAGGAGAAATTTTATACATGTAAAACAGACCCAGTTGCTCATGTCCTAGTTCAAGACATGAGTGCTTGGCCCCTGTCTATTATCACTCTTTTTCTTCTGTGATAAAAATAAAGAATGTATTCAAGTTCTTATCCACCTAGGGGTCTTTTATTTCTCTGGCTTTTCATTTCCTGTTCCTTTTCTCTGGAAATTTTTCTTGTCTCGCCCCCTTACTAGTTTTGAAATATTTAGCTCCGGCTGCTTGCTCTAGAATGTTCGTTTGGTTTTTTTTGTTTTTGTTTTGTTTTTTGTTTTAAAGATTTATTTATTTATTTATACAAGCACTGGGTACAGTCAGAAGTGCGGGAGGGTGAGAGAATTCACCAGAGCCAGAGTGGGGAGCAGAGCAGGCAGACTGATGAAGTACACTGCTGAGGGGAGAAGTGGGCAGCAGGAGAGGTCTGCGCGCCATGTGGGACCGGCGGCTGGGGATCAGACTGGCGCTGCAGAGGCTGAGGGCAGCCTTGCAACCCAGTGCTCAACCGCTGCACCCCCGGGGAGGCCCACTGTTTTTTTTTTAAAAGATTTATTTATGCATACAAGAGCTGGTGTACAGACCAGAGGTGTCATGGGTGAGAGGATTCACCAGAGACAGAATGGGGAACAGAACAGGCAGATTGACTGAAGTACACTGCTGAGGGGAGCAGTGGGCGAGTCAGGAGAGGTCTGCTGTGCCATGTGGGTTGCTCCCTAGCCGGCAAGGGGATCGAACTCGTGCTGCAGTGGCTGTGGACTGCTTCATAGGTTGCGTCTTAACCCCTTGTGCCACCAGGGAGGCCCTGCTCTAGAATATTTTACCTGGCCTCCAGTTTGGCCAATTGCTTCTCTAGCATTCAGAGCCTACTACTGTCCTAATGAGTATTCTGTTACTTTAGTTGCTTTCGCTTTTCTGGCTCAACAGATTGGAAGCTTAACAAGGCAAGGGATCATTGCTGCCATCATACTAGAATGCCATAGTTTCTCAGGAAGTGTTTATTGAATTATGTTTGATAATATGTCTTAAAAACTCGTTTCAAAACCAATGAAAGGGAAGAAGTTTGAGAAGCTTGTTGCAAAAAGGTGGGAAAAAGAGAAGTAATGTAAATACAGGAAGACTTGGTATGTGAAAATATCACCTCCTGTCTTTCAAGGTTCTAAGACTTGATGGGGAAATAAGAATAGTTAGGTGGACAAAGAAAAAATGATTTTGACTGAAAGAAGCTAATTAAATTGAAGGATATTGGAAATTGACTAAACATGGTTTTAGTGTTCTCGGTAAAAGGATAAAAAGATTTTAGAAAGCTGAATACAGGTGGCAGAGTCTGAGCAAGCAATACAGGTATGCAGGGGAGAATTAGAATTGTAAGACTGTCATAAACAGAAGAAGATACCTTATTAGCTGTGGGAAAATATGCTTAAACCAGATGTTAACATCTTTTCAAAACTTTAGACAAGGAATCGTGAAAATACTGTGGACAAAAAAGACTTGAATAAGTGTTTTTAAGGAAAAGGCAAGCTGATTTCAGAGGATGTGTCCCATTTGTTCATAATTTAAAAAAAAATATGGGGTGTGTGTAGTTCTTGAAAAATACTATGTAATTTCATATTCCACTTGAAAGAAGTGGTAGAGAAATGGAATTTGTGGTTTCATCTCAATTGAATGTCTGTCATTGCACAAATCACTTGCCGTTATAGTATCTTTATATATAAAATGTTCTATCCTTCTAACAAGGATGCAAATTGGGATAGAATTGGTTTGAGGTTATTGAGGAAAAACTGTTGTAGTAATTTAATATGCTGAATGTGTTGTAATAATATCAAACTGGGAAAAAGTAGTTGCTGTGGCAACAATAATTCTTTTCTAATCAAAACATATTTTATAAATTTCTAAGAATATGTATCGCTGCCTTTAGGAAGTAGTCTTAACTCAGCATTTACATTGAATAGTTTCACAGCAGCATTGCATGGTGAAAAACTGAGAAAGTAAGATGTCATGCTTTTTGCAGACATTAAGAGAAATACTCTCTTTAACCATGCTGTTATTGCTGAAAATAAAGGAACTCCTTTGTGTATTTTTAATTCTTATATGGTAAAAGGAGTGGTAAAAAGTTTGTGGGAAGGAAAGATAGAAATTAAATGCAAATGAAAAAATATTGAAATGCAAGTCATTTGTAGAAACACTGCACAGGTGCTTGAAGGAGTGGGAGATACTGGGGTGCTCAAACTGTGAGGAAGTCTTCCAAGGATTGTTCTAGATATAAAACCATTTTTGTGCATTTTTTCGATTTTATGTGAAATAGATTGTTATTTGAAAATTGATCATTGTTAAACTTAATTCTTTGAATATGGCAGAGGTTACTTATTTTCAGTTAACTTTTCTTAGTTTTTTTTTTATTAAGTATAAAGTTTGTTACAACCAGAGTAAAGCATTAAAAAACCTTGCTGATATTAAGTGTATCATTATCTATTTCTAAGGATAGGTATCCACCTATATCTTGGAATAAGAGTCTCTTTTAATGTTGAATTCATAGGCTTCTTTATTCATAGTAGGCAAAATATAGCTGTTTCTGTTTTTTATTAAAGATTTATTTATTTATGCATACAAGCAGTGGGTATGAGAGAATTCACCAGAGCCAGAGCGGGGAGCAGAACAGGCAGAAGGACCGAAGTACATTGCTGAGGGGAGCAGTGGGTGCGGCAGGAGAAGTCTGAGCGCTATGTGGGACCCTTGCCGGCAGCGGGGGATTGAACCGGTGCTGCAGAGGCTGCAGACAGCTTCGCAGCCTAGTGCTCAACCACTGCGCCACCAGGGAGGTCCAAAATATAGCTGTTTCTATTGAAGCGTCTCTTTCAGAAGAAATAAGATACATATATAGTGTTGACTAGAAAAAATTAGTTTGAAAATTTCATTCTATGGTGTTAGACGTTTAGTGCCTTGGAAATGAGTGTGGTCCTGTACGCTATACAATGTTGTTACCATTGTTACCTCAATAAAAGAGAAAAAGAAAAAAAGAAAGAAAAACCAAAACCCTTAAAGCACACCCTCCAAAAAATATATTCCATAGACATCATTCATATATGGGACTTATAAGGAAATTTTCACTCATGCGTACCTGGGTATATAAGAAGACAAAATTATTATGCCTCTTGATTTGAAGACTGTATTTGTCAGTCTTCATTTAATATTGAAAAATTAATTATATTTTGAATAATTAGTATTACAATGCTAGGCCTTTTAAGTACGTTTTTTCATATTTCAGAGAGAAGGGAAAAATTTCAAAGATACCTTAAATTCTGAATATTAAGGAATTAGGAAGTAATATATATGTATACTTTTGTCTATGTATTGCTTGCTTCGGTAATAATCCTGATTATAATAGTCTGTTGAATTCTGGGAAGAGGCCCAAGTCACTTGTATTATTATCAAAAATTTTAGGCATCTTTTTTTCATTTTTAGAATCTCCTCTTCAAATTGGATATTGGGGATTATCAAATGAATGCTTCCTACTTGCAGCCTAAATTTAAAACATAATTATATTGGAGTTTTGCAATAAAAAATACCCATACATATGGGACTAGGGAGCATTGCAAGATACTGAGATAATATAGATAAACTTTATAATCTGAGGGGAGATTCTGTAAAGTTTCTGCAAACCCTTGATACATAACCATGACCATACAAGGCATTTACCCAATGTGAAATTGATAGTAATATTCTTTCTTCTGTGATCATTAAATTCTTTTGAACTTTTTCAAAACAGGAAAAAAACAATATATGCCCACCAGAACAAGATGTGCTACAATTGAGCAATCAAAGTATGGATCAAAAGATAAGAGGGATTTGGGTAGGTAAATTTAACCCAGAAAGTAATGGCACATCCTGACTTACATTTTAGAGAAATTGATATAGAATGAGTGTAAAGCACATTAGAGTGAGTGTTAAGTGGTACACCCAAATGTTGAGGTCTGTGTTAGAACTCTGGTCTTGATTATTTTACTCGGCCTGCATAAAAATGATTTAAAGCACAAGTGATAAAGACAAGTCGAGTGTTCTCATCTACTTAGGATAAATCATTATGT